TCCTCCCATCAGAATTCTCCAAATGAACTGCACTTTATGGGTTCCTCTGTGGTCTGCACGACCCTTTGAATTGCCAAGGGTGAATACAGTATGTTGTGCATAATGAGCAGGGAGCACCATAAAACAAGCAATAAGCATTACTCATGAAATGTAGCATCTTACCCAGGTTTTCTATCCCCACTCAATGCAAACAGCAAAGGTGGCAGAAGAACTGAAGATACCAGACCAGCATGGAGTGAGGTGCAGTGAGGATTAAAAACCATTTCTGATTACTACCACTGCACAATGATGGCAAAATACTGTCTTACCTGTTTTCATCCTCAAAGCAGAGCCAAGCAGGCAGACAGACACAGCTCGGGCAATGAGTAGACATCGAAAATAGAATGCTTGTATACAGTGACAGACATCTACTTCTCTGAGGGTCTTTTATTGCTCTTCCCTAGCCACAACTCCCTTCAGTACGACTTCACTCAACATTTTCTTCAGTAGAAAATTACAGATTTGAAATAACCCTACAAAAGCTTGTAGCCCATCCTCCCCCCTCTACTGCTTGCTCTTTTCCGTGAACCAAAACCAGATACCCCCTAATGTTAACTGAGTTACCAGGGGCTCCCAACCACGGGTAGTGATACTACATTCCTATAATATACAGACATTTTACACAGTTGGAAAAAGCTAAGAGTTGAGGGAGAGGAATTCATTTTGTTTTCATATAAATCAAAATGATAACTTGGAAAATATTGGCCAGTTCTAAAAATAAGGCCATGTATGAACTAGTCATTTCACCTGTCCCACCTACCCCTACTTCAGCTGCTGTAGTGTTTAGGATTCACATGCTTCAAATTACAGACAGCAGTGAATCTATCCCCTACGTTGTCAAAATAAATCTGCTTGGTAGCTGGCATAAAAGCTATTTGGTGTGTGATTATTCCTAGCCTACCTCCTCTGAAATCCTTGTTATCTCAGTCAACAGAAATCCCAAGGACACCCCTCTACTAGGGCATTCAGTATTTACACTAACACTATTACGCACATCTTAGCGCAACTGCCAGCAAGAAGCCTACAGAGAATTAAATCATCTAACAATCCACTTCTTCCGAGTGCTGCTGGGTGCTGAGGTGGTCTAGGAAACAAAGCCTTCAAATACTTATCATCATTTTGGTGCCGTATGTCCGGGCACCAACAACATACAAGATGTGTTCTGAATCACAAGGGGGCCTCAGAAACAAAACAGAGAAGCAAGGGTGAAGAGCAATAATGTGCTTAGATTGTGCTGCTAATTATTAAGCCGGGCATTAATGCCACTTTAGAACAATGGATCTAAGCCGAGGTTGTAAGTCCTAAAGCACTTAGCCCTAAAATGAGAAACTACTGTTCGTTGTGCAGTGAGAAGCTATCTAAATAAAACCACAGGCTTATGTTGCAGTAAAAGTCCACTTGTCAGAATAAATACATGCCCCCATGCTGCACAGTCAGAAACTAGTTATATCAGCACCAACCTACAACACTAACCTAGCACACAGCATCCAAAAAAGTAGGCTTTCAGCTAAGTTATACCCTCTCTCAACCTACCATAGCAAGTAGAGTCAACACCTGTAGCAGCAGCATGTTGGTGCCGTGTTCTTAAGTCACTGCTGCTATTACAGCATCTCATCTGAATAGTCAGGAAAGTGTGCCTTGCAGAAATATTACTGGAAAGAAGCTGTTGCTCTTCCCAGGCATTGTTGCAAATGAGTAGACTCCCCTTAGCCCTTCTGACTCGCTTCTCTGATTCTCCTTCTCCATTCATCTTGTCAATCAGGCATAATCACAGGGCTCAAATGAGGGAGGGGTCCCAATTTCCACCCCCCCCCTCCACTACCTTTCTTCAGCCAGTTGTTATTTGTTTTACAGATCTCCTATTTGCAGCATAAGCATGAACAAAGGACTCCTAGCAGCTAGGCTGTGGCAGCCCAGTCAGTAACCTTTCTTGTAGGTATCCTCTCAACCTGTGACCGAAGCTAGTAAAAAAAAAACACACGCAATTTTTTACTTTGCTACTCCATAACTGAAAAATAGTGTGTACATACAATTTTTCACTCTACTGCTCCGTAACTGCATTTGCTTCAAGGTAAGTCTCTAAAAAATGCAATTCAATTTTAGGAGCAACACGGCTAACACCCTCCAAAGAAGGGGGGAGATATTTCCTGGAACAAAGGGGTTTTATTTCTCCTCCTTCACCCTCAGGTTAGTTTCTATTGAGTTTAAAGGAGTCTGTAAGCACAAGTTTTGAGTCACCTGAAGAGTAAAAATCTCTTCCTACAGAGGCAGGAAGGGCAGAATGAAATACTCGTAATACTATTTCTCACTAAATTCGCTATGGGTCAGAGCTTCAACTAGAGTAAAATCAGTCATCCAGTGAAGCAAACAGAAGTACTATATGAGCTAAGGATGTAGTTGTATGGCCCTAATCTTATTCAAACTTGCATACCAAATACTGATATTTAAAATTTGCCCAAAATCACAGTTAATATATTCTGAACTGGTATGCCTTTATCTCTCTTTTCCAAGCAATAATCTCTTCCCACGAGTGGAAAGAGAAGCATGCATCTAAACTTCTGGGCTGCTGTTGCGGTCAGAGAGAATTTTGAATTAAAACAAGAATCCACAGTATTTAAAAGTTGACAGCACAGAGGCCATGAGGATAAGTTTAAACCACAAACAGGAAAGCTGCTAAGCCTTTAACACACAGTTTTTCCTTTGAAAATTCCAGCATAAATCATGAGTAATAAAGGCCTTGAGGACAGACAACCACAGTGCTCGGGGCCTTGACTGTCATAAAAACGGGTGCTTTGCATCTGAGGACAAGCTTTTGGGGTCAGCAAGCAGCAACCACCACCTCCACCACATCACATCCATGGAGCTTTGCACAACTCCACTGAGCATGACAGAGCTGACCAAGCATAAAATGTACCCCAGGAGGGCACCTGCTGCTGAAGGGACCTTAGTAACTTGCAGAGCATCTCTACAAGCCTTAGGCCAGCATAAGCTAAATGTCATTCAGTAGGTGTAGCTTAAACACAACTGGCAGAAAAGGAGGGGGAACGACCTGCCAAAGAGAAGTTGCAAGCACAAAGCAACACAATTCTGCTGGCCAAACTTTGTAGCCGAGAGTAGCCTCATAGTTGTTCCATTTCAACAGTGGCTATGAAGATATTGGCATTTTGCAATGTGCACCTCTGACAAATGCATCACACATTCCCTCACACCCCCTGCCAAGCACACGATGCACGTACAGTGTGACTAGTAAAAGTTGTGCTGCAGTTTTTCAGTGTGGTACCAATGCTTATATCTGACCTTCACCAAAAACTACACCAATGGCAGCATCAGAACAGCTGTATTAATGAGGGGGGAAAAAGGCATTTTATTTTCTGAACTGTTGGCAAGGCTTGAGACTATAACTACAAATTCTTCCTGCCTGATGCACAAGCCTGCAAGTGGCTAGAAGTATTTAAGTGCAGAAAAGCCTGAAGTATTCTACTTCAGTTCAACATAGGATTTCAAAAACACAGAGAACAACAGCAAATGCTTCAAAATCAAACTGGAATCTACTAATACATGAATACTCATGACCAGTGTTATTTTATTTCCCCTTCCTTTTAATTGATCTTATCAATGACAGAAGACTACTATTTTCACAGTGTGGTGATGTTTCATTTCCGGGAGTCTTCTACAGAGCTTGAGTTGTGTTGGCTTGTTATAAGTAGTATAGCAGAGGGCACCTGCGCAATTTTGTATCACAGAGCTAGTATTTTTTCATGTATTTATCAAGCTATTTACTGTCTATATACTTTAACTTAATTTTATAAAAGCAAAGCAGTGGCTGTTAAGCCATACTAGTCATCAAAAAACAAATATCAAGGCTCCTGCTTAAGGCTTCGCAACACACTTCAGACAAAAATGGGTTAAGTACTTGTGTTAAATTTTGGGAAATTTAAAAAAGTTACAGAAGTTCAGAGATGTTTCCTGGCCCATACTGGAAGCTACAATACTGTTGCAACAGTTAAAATACTTAGCATTTGGGCATTATATAGCCATGCAATAGGTCTAAGAGTGAAGAGTGATATTTGCACAAATAATACACACAAAACAAAAAGCCAACAACAACTTTTAAGGCTAGAGGTATGCAAATAGCTGTCCCTTTCCTTTGTCTTGCTGGAATACATTATTTTCAGCACTGAAAGTTGCTGCTCTGCACTAAGGGCCTGTAATAGATGAAGTCCTGGTATCAAAAAATGTAAGACACCATATTTTTTTTCCTAAGGTATACAATTCAGGCTGATGGGGGCCCACAGTAAGATCCATCACCATGCTAAATATTCCATACAAAAGAAATCCCTGCTCTATTCGGGACCATGTCCCCAAGGATGTGAACAATTAAGTTTAAACAGGCTTTTTAGAAAGATGAATTACACCTACTTTACAGCCAAAAAAATAAAATGTTTTCATTCTTTTTCAATTAGGAGACACAGGTTGCTGGAGCATGATGATATGTGCCCAAGACTATATCCTCTTGCCATGCTGAGGATGTGTCACGCAAGAGGCTTCAGGAGAAACCAAAAGTCATTTTAGTCTTCAACACTAGAGAGTTAACAAATCTGTGGCAACCAAGCCAAACATGCTTACATGGAAACTTGGTGACTTAGTTCTATAGCATATAAAAGAAATAAGACTCTGAATTCTACAATTAGAGCTTACTTTTAACAGAAGGAAAAGTGGGTGTGCATAATCTTTCGGGAAGCAGTAACTTGACTGTTCATTTATTTCTCAAGGTCTAAATTCTCCCCTCCCTGCAACAGAGCAATAAAGAACACACACTACCCTCACTGAAAAGGAAGCTCTTGGAACATTACAGTCCATTTGAAAGCAATATAATGCCAGTAGCCTCACAATGGCTCAATGCTCCCAAAGACGATGGAAGCAAAAATTAAGTGAAGGTATTACAAACATTAGACACCTGGTTTTGAGATATATTTCCAGCTGTATTTGTTGGATCAAATTTGAACAAAAAAAGGCAGAAGGGTGAAATCTGGCTTAATAAATAAAGTTTCACTGGGATGGAAAGAAGTCAAGTTTACATTTTCTGCGCTGGCAAAAAGAGTGCTCAGTTCACAAAGAGGGATACATCAAAACCAAACATGCAATGATTGTTTTTAAAACCTTTACTGCAACATAACATTGAAGTAAACAGTAATTAGATAGCTATCATTTTTCCCCAAATGAAAAGATGTAAACAGGAAAATAAGTCTGCCTGTATGTATACAGTTTCTTAAATCATGTTAAAAGGGGTCTTCTCATTCAATGATCAAGAAATTTCAACATAACAATAATGGGTTCTCATTTGAAGGAACTGATATTTTCTTAAAATCCAGCATTAAACATGAAATAATGGGCTTCTTGCACTAGTTTAATACATCTGAAGCAGCAAAATAACCACCTATATTTTGGCATTTATGTTTACAGGTGCTCAAATCTTTTAGATTTCACAAAGCCATTATCCAGTGTTGCCATGAAATACAGATTGTAGATTCTAGGTAGCAAAGGCTATTTCCAATACCAATGTTAAGTAAAAAGAAACATGAAGCAGGGCATTACACTAAATTTCTGGAACTAGTACAGTAAGAGTGAAAACCTAGAAAAAAGTTAACCTACAGTTTATAGAAGGAACTAAATACCTGCAGAAGCTGATTTTTGGTTGTATAATATTTTACACTGTGTGATTTGCTGCATCTGCTACGTTAAAGCAGACATGCTTTTATTTATCCTTGCTTTGTTTCCTATATTTTCTTCTCCCTCCCCCCATACCATACACCTAGTACTGTGGATATGAGCCCAAGTATCCCAGACAATCCAGTGAACAAAGTTAGTGTAATGCACTGGTGTGAAGTGTGAGATAAAAAAGTCTCTCCCTTTCAATCTTCATCAAAGTTCTGTTGTAGAAGGAAGTTGGCAGCCAAGTTTTCGTTCTTCTCACAAGCAAAATATGCCTGTATCACAAGTCCTTCAGGGAATCCTAATGCCTTTAACTAAAAAAAAAGAAATTAATTTAGAACCACCAAGTTTGTATCTTAATCCTTTGTGTTTAATATGCTAAGATATCACCACTTCAGCAACCTGCTTGCTGAAACAGAATTGTAGTTAAGTTTCCCTTTTTTGATTCTTCACTTATTAGAGATTTTGAAATAAAGTGTTTTCCTCAGGTGACTGGAAATGCAATTATTTAATAAATCATTCTCTGCATTTATTTACCTGTTTAACTTTAATCAATGCATTAAGCGATACTGTACTTCCTTGTACTTTTTCTGAAAGTCAGCTGCTAGAAGCTGGGGTGTCTTCAGTGACAAAAAACAGCCAACAGCTAGGGAGCCCTACAACCTCAATGCACTGCTCTATCCAGCATACACAAATTTACTTTCCCTTTCTCCCGTTTCACTTAGAAACACCCTCAAGCTTTTGCTGAAGCAGGTGCTGCAGCTCAGGAATTAGTGGAACTACCACTGGCGATTGCTCCCCCCCAAATGCGGCTGCCAATGTTTCTGCTTACTATCGGGAATTAAAATTTGGTGGTGGCTGCAGTAGGGGCATACAAGAGGGTGACTGCGCTCTGTTAGCTTTGTGAACACATGCTACCATTAGCAGGACAAGGTGGTTACATTCATTTAGTCAGTGAAAAACCATGTTTCCCTTCATTCCACTCTTCCTGAAAACCAGGTGCATTGGTTGGGGGGGGAGGGTTGTATGCCAGAAAATACAGCACTAAGACTGGTGTTGACAGCATTAGAATGTATCAGCAATACATGCACTGCTGTGGAAGAAATTCATTTGACATTAGGCACAAATTTAAATACGAAAGTTTGATAAAGGTACCAGACTGCTGTACAAGTACAGTCAGATTCCAGAGCTAGTCTGCCTGAAAGGGGCATTTCATTTTAACTGGCAAGCTGGCAAGAACAGTTGGTGCCGTGAAAGCTGGTAACCTCTAGACCATTTGATTTGTTTGAATGATAAAACTTAGCTCTGGATTTAGCCTGCACTTTATGAAGAAGTCTTCATTTCAGTTTAAATCGATCAGGTTAACACACCTATGCTTTCTAACCAGTGATTTTCTTAAAAGCCCCAGAAAAAAACAGCCTCCAGCTATTTGACATACATAAGTGGGGCCCACTCAGCCTATGCAACTGGATCTTGCTGCTGCCTGGCTCACAACCATTACATTTGTTAACAGATTATTGTGCATGTACCAATGGCAGCACAATATTTAGGCCCCACTAGAACTGGGTGTGCGCCAAGCAGTCCTAAAGGGAGAAAGGCGCACTAACACCAATTTCTTTACTAGCCAAGTCTAACCAATCTCCCAGCTTTTCTAGAGGGTTAATCTGAAAGTTTTGACAAAGTTTTATTGGTTGAGAGAGTTCAAGTATTTCATGAAAGGGAACAAAACATTTCCACAGTTGCTGTGGAAATATTATTTGACAGCCAGATCTAGAAAACAGTCTAAGAACAGCACTGAAGCAGCTCCTGCTGAACAAAACCAAAAATCAGATGTTTACAAACGGAGAATTGCTATAATTTCCTTAGGGTTAATTCCTGAAAGAGATGTAAAAATAGATGGATACTTTACACCTTAAGGCTCCCACCTACAACTACTGCAAAGCCATATTTCCATTTGGCAAGCATAGTTAAATGTGTCAGAATGTTGCCAGGCAGTGGCAATTACTGCATATTACAAAGCTATTTAACTGAAGTGGTGCCAACTTTGCTAATGCAGCTTCAGTCTATTCATGAAAACTCTGATAACAATTCCTATATTTATTGAAATCCATGATAAGCCCCACCTCTCCCCTCCTCCCCCCAACACCCCCAGTCAACATGGGGCTGGGGGGAAGAGGGGAAACAAGTTATCTTGGATTTATGTATGGCTTGGAGCAGGCAGTAGCTGTGTTTCTGGCGCTGGAACCATAGCTGCTGTTTGTCCTTGGCTGGGGCAGCTCATAGAGCAGGGTGGGGGCACACAGCAGGGGGCGAGATTGCACAGTGTGAGGGATTGTTTAGCATAAGAGGAACTGTAGCTGTTACTACTGCCTGACCAGGGCTATTGTGTTTTTTGTACTCCAGGCCAAAGTCAGAGGCAGAGCTGGAACCAAAGTCACTGCATAGGGTAAGCAGTGATGGGAGTTGCAGGGGTAAGAGGCCAGGGGGCAGGCACTGGTGGGGACAAGTGATGGGGG